CGGTTCGCCCTAAGTACCGCTTCCTTGACTCCATTCCATTTCAGCCGACCTGAAAAAACAAAAAGAGAGAGAGAGTGAGAGAAACAGACGAGATCGGCGAGACTCTTCTTCTCCGGTTCCGGTTACTCGCAAAGACTCCGCCGGACGGTGGTGGGTCTTCTTCTTCTCCCGAAAGCTGTGACAAGAATCTTGTTGTTCTTGATTCTTGAAACTCTTTCCACCGGAGAAGAGGATCCTCCATCGTCCGGTGGCATCTTGAGCGACGGATCTTGACGGATCTTGATGGATCTTGAGTTCTCTCCACGCATCTTGATCGATCTTGACGGGTTTTGAGTTCTCTCTCCATGCATGCGACGGATCTGGTATTGTTTGATGTCTCTGTCTTTAATCTTTTTAGTTTTTTGAATATTCTCTAACTTTGTTCTCCAAATTTCAGGTACATGCAAGAGTGGTTGAAGAGTGGTTCGACATCCGCCCTCCTCTGAAGGTATTTTAGGTGTGGATTATTACTATTTTCTTGGTGGATTATTACTAATTTTTTGTTTGATGTCTCTGTCTTTAATCTTTATAGGTTTTTGAATATTCTCTAACTTTGTTCTCCAAATTTCAGGTACATGCAAGAGTAGTTCGACATGCAATCTCCTCTGAAGGTAATTTTCTCTCTGTATGTTTCTGCATGTTCTTTGATTTATATGATGTCTAATTTTAATTTTGTCCCTGCATGTACTTCAATCGGAGCTGCCATTCAAGTTACATTGGAGAGGAGTTCTTGTGCTTCGTTTCTCTTCTTTGCCGGCGAGGAGTCCCTGCATGTTCTTCAAAAATTTGTTAATTTTTTTTTATCATAAATAATTTTTTTAATTTATAAAGGTTTTTTAATATTAAAAAAATAATATTATAATATAATTTACAAAGCTAATATTTTAATTTGTTTGACTTTGAAAAAATTCAATATTATAATTTAAGTTATAAAGGTTTAATAATTTAATATAATTAAGTAATATTATAGATTAATTCATATTTATAATATGTTTGATCATACTTGCTTGTCTTCAGTAGGTCACCGAGTTCAAACCACCCAGCTTGTGAAAAATCATCCTAAGGACTCAAGGGTGATTGTTCACAGGCTGGGCGGTTGAACTCGGTGCGAACTTAAGACAAGATTGAACTAGGTTAAAATTGATATGTCTGATATAAATTTGTTGATAAAAATGTCTGATCTAAATTTGTTAAAATTAATATGTCTGACCTAAATTTGTTAAATTATTTGAATATGATTGCTTGAATTGAGTGTTGCATTACTTGTCTTTACTAGGTCATGGAGTTTAGGCCTCCAAGCTTTTGAAAAATCATCCTAAGGACTCAAGGATGATTGATCAGAGGCTTGGCGGCTAAACTCCGTGCGAAGTTAAGACAAGACTCAGCTCATTGATTTTGTGATTGTGCTGTTTGTTTTATATCTGCTTAGTTTGTTTGTATAAAGTATATTGATATTCTGACCTAAATTTGTTAAATTATTTGAATATGATTGCTTGAATTGAGTGTTGCATTACTTGTCTTTACTAGGTCACGGAGTTTAAGCCTCCAAGCTTTTGAAAAATCATCCTAAGGACTCAAGGATGATTGATCAGAGGCTTAGCGGCTAAACTCCGTGCGAAGTTAAGACAAGACTCAGCTCATTGATTTTGTAATTGTGCTATTTGTTTTATATCTTCTTAGTTTGTATAAAGTATATTGATATGTCTGATCTAAATTTGTTAAATTTATTTTTATATGATTGTTCATTTGTTTGAATTGATTGTTTAATGAGTTGCATTGCTTTTCTTTACTAGGCACCGAGTTAAGTCCTCCAAGCTTTTGAAAAATCATCCTAAGGACTCAAGGGTGATTGTTCAGAGGCTTGGCGGCTTAACTCGGTCCGAAGTTAAGACAAGACTCAGGTCATTGATTTTGTGCTGTTTGTTTTATAGCTGCATAGTATGATAGCTGATACATTGATAGTTTGATGTCTCTACCTCGGTTAGCTATTTGTCTTGACTTATGTAGCTTTATTTTATATTTTCTTAGCCTGAGATGATGGAGTGATCGTGAACAAGCAGGATCAATGGAGATTCAAGTTAAAACAACTGAAGTTCTAAGGTGAGTAACTTAATCACTGGAAGTGGAACATAGCTTATCGTAGGTTATCGGTAGCTTAGGGTATTAATTTACGTGGATAATTGGATGTGTACTTGCACAAAATTTCTAATATTTAAAAAACAATTTTAACAATTTTTTAATTAGAATTTTAACAAAATTTAGAAAACCCTAATAACTAAAACAGTTTTAGAGAAACCGCAAGACGAGACCAAAAAAAACAGCAGAACCGCAAAACCTAAGAGAGAGAACATGGGATCGAGAGGCGACTCAGAAGATCACACGTTTGATCCGAACTACGTCCCACCAAATACAGTTGATTTGGAAACTCAAAATCTCATAGCTAAGCTTGTTGCTGAAGAAACAAACGTTGATCGGTTCCCTGAAGACGATGTAGCTTGTGTTCCTGGAAAGAAGGAAGCAAAAGAAAGCTTATCAGTCTTGTAGATGAAACTGATTATTCTGATGTTGAGATCACTCCATCATCTTAAAAAACCAAGCCTCGCAGAAAGACTTCTTTTGGAACAGCCTCGAGGAAACCGATGTTGCAATCCACTATAGATGGTGGCATTGGCTCATCCTCACAGGCGTGTAGGAAGACTGTTCCTATGAAGTCTGTGATTCATGGAGGGAGAAGAAAGGCCGTTCCTACTCAATCGCCAAAGAAGAAGGTCGTGCTTACTAAGTCGCAAAAGAAGAAGAAGAAGGTCGTAGAGGACATACCTGACTTTGACGATGAACTCGACGACGAAGAAGAGGATGATGATGATGATGAACTCGGTGACGAGGAAAGGGAAGAGAGGCAAAGATCAGATGTGTGGAGCGATTTTAAGGTGGTACATAAAGCCAGTGAGAAGTTGAAAGCTGCATGCAATCATTGCAGGAATGAGTATGCATGGCATTCCCATTCCCATGGAACCAGTGGGTTGAGAAGGCATCGTAATAGATGTAAAATGTATCCAAGGAACCGAGATGGTCAACAACAACTCAACCCCGAGGGCAAAGTTGTTCCTCGTAAGTATGATCATGCTGTGTTTAGGCAGATGGTAGCAAAGACAATAGTGCAACATGATCTACCCTACTCGTACGTGGAGTATGAAAAAGTGAGAGACACATGGAAGTATTTGAATGCTGATGTCAAGACCATTTGTCGAAACACAGCAAGAGCTGATGTGTATCGATTATATGAAAGTGAGAGAGACACACTGAAGAGGGAATTAGGGAGTCTTCCTGGACGAGTGTCTTTCACAACTGACTTATGGACATCAGTGAAACGGGAAGGATACATGTGTGTGATAGCACATTATATTGATCGGAATTGGAAGTTGAACAGCAAGATCCTGGTTTTTTGTGCTCTACCTCCACCACATGATGGTATGAAAATGGCGGTCCGCTTCCTTGATACACTGAAAGAGTGGGGAGTTGATAAGAAGGTATTTTCTCTCACTGTAGACAATGATACAAGTAATGACTCAATGCAAGATATTTTCAAATCCCAGCTAAATTTGAGAGATGATTTGCTGTGCGCCGGAGAGTTATTCCATGTTAGATGTGCATCTCACATACTGAACCTCATAGTACATATTGGAGACTCTCTGCACAAAGTAAGAGAGAGTGTTAAGTATGTGTTAGGATCGGAAACGCGTGAAAATTTATTTGAAAAATGTGTGGATGCTGTGGGTATAGAAGAAAATGGGGGGGGGGGGGGGCTAATACTGGATGTGTCGACAAGATGGAACTCGACTTACTACATGCTTGAAAGGGCCTTAAAGTACCGTAAAGCATTTGTTAAGTTGGAAACATTTGATAAGAAGGGGTTAAGATGGCACCCACACATGAAGAATGGAATAGAGCTGAGAATATATGATGTTTTCTGGGTCCTTTTGCGGTGATTACAAGCCTGACGTCTGGTTCAAATTACCCTACTGCGAACTTGTATTTCTATCAGGTTTGGAAGATCCATAGTTGGCTTCAACAGAATGAGTACAGCGAAGATGAGATTATCAGATACATGGTGCCACCAATGAAAGAGAAGTACAAAAAATATTGGGGGAAGTCAGTGATGCTTTTGCAATGGCAGCAGTCTTCGACCCACGGTTTAAGCTTTCAATTGTCGAAAGCTGTTTAGGGAAGCTTGATATGACCACACGTGATGCAAAGTTGAAGAACTTGCGGGAGAAGCTGACTACTTTGTTTGAGTCTTATGACAAAAACTCCAAGAATAACTCACCTTCTACAGAGCCACGTCAGACTGTTTCACAAAAACCCTCTCTGCCAGGGTCAATGGGACTGTTTCAGAACTACGATGTGAGTGCAATATCAAATTTTTCCCTTCTGTTTATTTTTTTTACCCCTCTCATATTTTTTTAAACCTTCTTAGGATTTTTTTGCATTTCGCAAAGTCAGTGGTGTTGTTAGTGGCAAGACACCTCTAGAAGCTTATCTTGATTAACCTCCTTTGGACATCACTAATTTCCAAAGCTTGGACATCCTCAATTGGTGGAAGGATAATGCACATCGGTATGGTGATTTGGCTGCAATGGCATGTGATCTGCTAAGTATTCCAATCACAACAGTGGCTTCGCAGTCCTCCTTTAGTATTGATCGCGAGTGCTAAACAAATATAGGAGCCGTCTACTTCCAGAAAATGTGCAAGCTCTGATATGCACTAGAAACTGGATCAAGGGATATGAATCTTATGCACATGGTAAAGAATAAGCAATTTAATTGATCGTACAGTAATTATCCTTAATTCAAAGTAAAATATGTTTTATATTATCAGATGAAGAAATTGCTGGTGATGGTGAGGAAGAGAAATTGCCTTCATTTCAATCTATTGTCGAAGGAGGAGATGAGGATTAAAGATGAAGAGGAGCATGTTTGAAATGTTATTTTGATTTGGTGTTTTGCTTTATTACAATTTGAGGTTTGATTTTTAAGTTGTTTGTTTTTGTTTTGAGTACAAGGATTTGGTGTTTTTCTAAATTTAAATTTGGTTCAGACTTTTTATTCATATTCTACATGCACTTTATCCTCATTTAGGAATCCTAACTTTATGAATGGAGAAAAAAGACTTGAAGTGAATGTTTAATGTCATTTTATAAAGAATGTAAATGTATTTTTATAGAAAATTTTGTGAGCTTGAATAGCAAATTGTTGATATATCTTCAATATGTGCATGCATGTATGTTGTGGAACAGTCTGAAGCTCTTAGACCTCCCTGAAGCGCCGTGGAACAACTTGGAGCAGTCTGCAGCAACATTGACGTTTGGCCCGCGGGACGGCCCGTAAAAGCCTGTACATTGCTGCGGGGCGGGATTGGCCCGACCTTCTGCAGACCGCAGCCCGCGTGGGACAGGACCGCAACGACCCGCGAGAAGTCGAGCCCGCTGCAGTACGGGACGGGACAACCTGTTTGACAATCCTATAATTATGGATTAGAATGATTTAATTTGGGGAAATACCTTTGAGTCAATGAGGAGAATATCAACTCTTATGAGTAGGTTTCTGTTTTGGAAGTTGCAGATTTCTCATCAATGAATCACCTAACCAAAAGTTCGTTGTTACAGAAATTTCCTTTGAGGTCATCAAACGTTTTTGTGCTGGCAAAATTGATGATGGAGCCATTGTTTTTTTCCTGAAGTTCTTTGGAGTATTTTTTGATGGGTATGAAGTTGAAGTCGATGAAATAATGAGTTTTATTGGGAATTGTTTGATATAAAATTATATTTTTTTATTTTTATTTTTAATATAGTATTTAAATTTTTATATTGTATATTACTTATTTATTTATTTTAACATTTTAATATAAATTTTAATGTAGTATTCCATTTATTATATTTAATTATTAATGTTTTTTTCTTATATTGTATATTTCTGTTTCTTATACACACATTAGGTAATATATATAAAAAATTTTACATTTTAAGATATATGTTCAATTTTTAATGTAATATTTTCATTTTTAAATTACGTATTTACTTATTATTTATTTTTCTTTATACTGTGTATTTCCATTTTTATACTTATTTACTTAATATCTATATTTTACATTTTAAAATAGACGTTTAATGCTTAATGTACCTTATCCATTTTTTAACTTGTGTATTTATTTATCATTATTTCATATATTATATATTACATATTTCAATTTTTAAATTTTATATTTATGTGTTTTAAATTGTGTATTTACTTATTATTTATTTTTCTTATATTGTGCATTTTCTTCTTATACTTTATTTTACTTAATGTCTATATTTTACATTTTAAGATAGATGGTTAATGCTAAGTGTACATTTTCACTTTTTAAATTGTTAATTTACTAATTATCATTATTTTTGTATATTATATATTTACTTAATATCTATATTTACATATTTAAATGTATATTTACTTTTATTGTACTACTTTATCTTAAAATTGTGTATTTCCTTATCATTTATTTTTTCTTATACTGATTATTTCCATTTCTTTTACTTTATCTTACTTAATATCTATATTTAACATTTTAAGATAGATGTTTAATACTTAATGTACTTTTTCCAATTTTTAAATTATGTGTTTATTTATTACTATTATTTTAGTATAATATATACTTATTTAATATCTATATTTTATATTTTAAGATAGATGTTTAATTATTAATTTATTATTTCATTTTTTTAAATCGTGTATATACTTATTATTATTATTATTTACATATTACAAATTAAACCTACTATCTATATTTTACATTTTAAGATAGATGTTTAATTCTTAAGTAATTTTTCGATTTTATTAAATTGTGTACTTACTTATTATTATTATTTTGTATATTTATATTTACATATTTAAATTATAATATAATTTTTTAATGTAGAATTTTAATTTTTAAGTTTCAATGTTTATTTATTACTTAGTTTTTATTATATTGTGTAATTCTTTTTCTGATACTTTTATATTACGTAATATCTATTTTTTACAATTTAAGATAGATATTTAATGTTTAAGATAATATTTCCATTTTTAAATTAGGTATTATTTATTATTTATTTTTCTGATACTATGTAGTACTATTTCTTATATTTTAGTTTACTTAATATCTATATTTTACACTATAAGATAGATGTTTAATGCTTATTGTCCATTTTCTATTGTTTAAGTTGTGTATTTACTTATTATTGTTATTATTATTATTATTATTATTATTATTATTATTATTATTTCTTATATTATATATATCTTCATATTTAAATGTATAGTTACTTTTTAATGCACTATATACATTTTAAATTAGGTATTTACTAATTTTTTTTCCTTATACTGTGTATTCCCATTTTTTATTCTTTATTTTACATAATAACTATATTTTACATTTTAAGATAGTTGTTTAATGTATCTTTCCTATTCTTTAAATTGTGTATTATTTCATTTTTTAAAATTGTGTATATACTTGTTATAATAATAATAATAATAATTATTATTATTATTTATATATTATATATTCACATAATAACTATATTTTACATTTTAAGATAGATGTTTAATGCTTAGTGTAATTTTTTATTTTACTAAATTGTGTATTTACTTATTATTTTTGTATATTATATATTTACATATTTAAATGTATAAAATAAATGTTTTATGTAATATTTTCATTCTTAAATTTCTAGGTTTATATATTATTTTTTTTTCTTATATTTTGTATTTCCGTTTCTTATATTTTTATATTACATAATATCTATATTTTACATTTTCAGATATATGTTTAATTTTAATATAATATCTCCATTTTTTAAATTGTGTATTTACTTATTATTTATTTTTTTAGTACTGAGTATTTCTATTTATTATATTTTATTTTACTTAATATATATATTTACACTTTTCGATAGATGTTTAATGATTAATGTACATTTTCCATTTTTTTAATTGTGTATTTAATTATTATTATTATTATTTTCGTAATTATATATTTAAATATTTAATTGTATAGTTACTTTTTAATGTATTATATACATTTTTTAAATTGTGTATTTACTTATTATTTATTTTCCTTTATACGGTATATTTCCATGTCTTATTCTTTATTTTACCTAAAAACTATAGTTTTCATTTTAAGATAGTTGTTTAATGTTTAATTTACCTTTTCCATTTTTAAAAAAAATTGTGTATTACTTGTTATTATTATTTTCGTATATTATATATTTACTTAATGACTATATTTAGATATTTAAATGTATATTTAATTTAATGTACTATTTCCCTTTTTAAATTATAATTACTTATTATTTATTTTTCTTTATATTATGTATTTCCATTTCTTATACTTTATTTTACTTAATATTTATATTTTACATTTTAAGATAGATGTTTAATGCTTAGTGTAGGTTTTCCCTTCTTAGTTGTGTATTTTCTTGTTATTACTTTTGTATATTATATATTTATTTAATATCGATATTTTAAATTTTAAGATAGATGTTTAATGCTTAATGTACTTTTCATTTTTTAAATTGTGTATTTTCTTATTATATATATATATATAATTATTTTATTATATATTAAAATGTAAAACTATATATTATATCAATATTTCAAAAATCTAAAAATAAACATAAAAAGGTAGTAATGTTATCTATATTTTTGGATTATTTTATAAAATTGTAAAATTGTGATCTTACATATGTTTAATGTAGTATTTTCATTTTAATGTTATATTTACATATTATTTTTATTTTTGAAATTATATATATCATTGTAACCTTACATATGTTTAATGTAGTATTTCCATTTATAATGTTATATATTTACATATTATTTATTATTTTCAAAATTATATTTATAAGTAATACTAAAATGTAAGAATATAAATTATATCAATATTTCGAAAACGTAAAACTAAAAATAATAATGTAATTATATTAATAGTTTCACGTGACATCTTTTTAAACAGAGTTTCTACACTGATGTGAACCTTCTTTGGTGCCTCAAAATGCTCTTTTATTAGTATAGGTTAAAACTATACATTATATCAATATTTCAAAAATGTAAATTTAAATATAATGAGGTAATAATATTATTAATATTTTCGGATTCTTTTTTTTAATATAAAATGGTGATCTTACATATGTTTAGTTTTGTATTTCTAATGTTTATATTTACATATATTTTTTATTTTAAAAATTATATATATCATGGTAATCTTACATATGTTTTATGTATTAATTCCATTTATAATGTTATATATTTACAAATTATTTATTATTTTCGAAATTATATTTATCAGTTATATTAAAATGTAAAACTATACACTATATCAATATTTCGAAAATGTAAAACTAAACATAATAAGGTAATTATTAATGATGCCACGTGGCATCTTTCGGAAGTGAGATTTTACGCTGATGTGGACGCTATCTGGAGCTTCAAAATGTACCTTTTATTAGTATACTCGAGGAACATATTTGATTTGTAATAATATTCATAAATACACAATTCATTAATGAAAAAAGACAATACTACCCTTCTCTATCTTCTCTTCTATTTTCTTACTCTCCGCCGTCTCTCTCGACGAAAGATCAGAGAGGTTCAGTCACTGCCTCCTTCACTGTTCACGATGTGTCATTCCACCTCCAGGATCAACGGCCGCGGAGGAGATTGAGAGAATCTACCGCCGAGAACCTCACGACTCTTCCATTGATATCTCTCACCAGAATTGCATCGAACCAACGATTATCCCCGAGCAATTAACCGTCGCGAAGCCAATCGTTGCAACAGATCCTCCTCCTCCTCCTCCTCCATCTTCTCCTGCTCCCCTCCACGAGAACAAGTTTCTCGTATCTGGTATAAAAGATTCTCCTTACTTGTGTTTAGCTGCTCGATTCGATTTCCGTGACTTTAGTTTTTTGTGTTGCTTCTAAATTATAGTGGAGGTTTGCTTAAAGCCATCAAGCACAGGCTTGTCTCGAGGATGTTCAGAGAGCTGTAGACCGTTGTTCAGTGCGTTGTTTATTACGAAATGCATGCCCTTTTTGGGATTTGGAAGGGAGTGATTTTTTCTGAGATTTGATCGTTTTCTTTATCATACTTAGCTAGGGTTCTGTGCTATGTATGCATAAGCATATACGAAAGTAATTATACGGATTTGGTTGTTGATTAATTTCTAGTAGCCATGTTGAAATGCTAGTGTTGTTACTGATGTTTTTACCCTCTGTATCTATAGAGGAATGGGTGAAGAATAATGATGTGCTCTTGTTCTGGCAAGTTAAGCCTGTTGTCCATGCCTTTCAGGTAAATCCAAACCTGATTTAAGTTTAATAACTTTGTTTTCTCTTGGTGACATATTATACATGACTTGTTTATGATTTGCATCCAGTTAACTGAGGAAGGACCATGTGAGGAACTCGGCCCTGATGGACAATGTTCTAGCTTTAATGAATTGATTCTTCCTGCTAAGGAGTTTGATGGCTTATGGAAAAGGTGTGTCTCAGAGTCTGGTCCTGACTTGGTTGTAAAGCAGTAATGGGTATGAAACAATTTATTCAGTGGTCTGGCTTTTGTTTTGTTTTGTGTAGCTTGATATATGAATCTGGACTTAAGCAACGGTTACTACGTTACGTCGCAAGTGATTTGTTGTTTGTTTTAGATTCAAATTCACTTAGCTAATCAGTATCTTAATCCAGGAATGAGTGAGCAAGAAGCTTTGGATTATCGTCACAGTTTGGGGATTCGTGTGTCGGGTTTCGATGTTCCTAGACCTGTGAAGACCTTTGAGGATTGTGGCTTTTCCTCACAGATCATGAGTGCTATCGAAAAGCAAGCTTATGAGAAGCCAACAACTATCCAGTGTCAAAAAAAAAAAAAAAAAAAAAAAAAAAAAAAAAAAAAAAAAAAAAAAAAAAAAAAAAAAAAAAAAAAAAAAAAAAAAAAAAAAAAAAAAAAAAACTATCCAGTGTCAAGCTTTTCCCGTTGTGTTATCCGGTAGAGATGTTATTGGTATAGCCAAAACTGGTTCTGGGAAGACTGCCGCTTTTGTCCTTCCCATGATTGTTCATATTATGGATCAGCCTGAGCTTCAGAGAGAATAATGTCCTATTGGTGTCATATGTGCTCCAACCAGAGAACTCGCTCATCAGATTTACTTGGAAGCTAAGAAATTCTCTAAAGCGTATGGGTTGTGAGTCTCTGCTGTGTATGGTGGAATGGGGAAGCATGAACAGTTTAGAGAACTCAAGGCGGGATGTGAGATTGTTGTTGCTATTCCTGGGAGGTTGATATGATGTGGTGAGAGGTTTACACAAATCTATAACCCTATACGATAAGCCTCAAAACGTGGTCAATATTAACCGTTTATATATGATGAATCCTGCAACAGATGGGACTAAGGCAAATACGAGAGAACTGCCTGCAACCAAATGAGGAAACAGTAAGATCGTTTACATTTTTCAGAATGAACGAGAAGATCTTTAGGGTCAAGAACTGGAACAACGTTGTCCCATTCGTTAGGCAGATGAGTGCGGATGTGTAAAACAACAGTAGCCATTGGCGTTGTGTATTTTTCTTTTGTTACAGAATTGTTCTTTCCTCACCATATTGCTTTTTCAGATATGTGATGAGGATAGATAAATCAAAATCAAAATTTTTATAAGATATAGTTCTAGTTCCATGGAAGAGAGATCTAGTAAAAGAAACCTTTCATTGATCAAAAAGTTACATTATCAGAAACAGAGAAGGTTCAATCACATATATATATGTTCAAAGGACTTGCCTATCAGCAGCATCAGCATAAATGGGCAACCTAGGGATCAGACCAAACAAGCAAGCATAGAAACCATAGATCAAAGAGACAAGCAAGAAGAGGAACACAGTGCTGTCCAAACTCATCACCACATCTAAACCAAACCCATCTCTGGGATTAAAGCTCCTCTCAAGCAAATCCGGGAAGATCAACAGCACGTCGAGGACAATGGCCTGCATCGTGTTGAACCTAACGTACCTGCTGAAATTAAATGTATGGATTCAGTTTCAAGATCACCCGTTTATGCTCAATTTGGAGAAGCATTAAATGGTCTATCAAGCATCCGTGCTTACAAAGCATACGACCGTATGGCTGAGATAAACGGAAGATCAATGGATAATAACATCAGATTCACGCTTGTAAACATGGGTGCAAACCGTTGGCTAGGAATCCGTTTGGAAGTTCTGGGAGGTCTCATTGTTTGGTTAACTGCTTCATTAGCCGTCATGCAGAACGGTAAAGCAGAGAACCAACAAGCGTTTGCATCTACAATGGGTTTGCTACTCAGTTACGCTTTGAGTATCACAAGCTCCTTAACAGCTGTGCTGAGACTCGCGAGTTTAGAACACATCTCGTGAAATTAAACACATATTTTTCCACTTACAAACATTTGTAATGGTTTATTAAATTTTATAAAGGCTTAGAAATCATTTATAAGGGTTCATAAAACATCTATAAGAATATATATATAAACAATGTATAAAGGTTTATAAACCATTACAAATGTTTGTAAGTGTATAAATCATTTATAAAATGGTTATAAATGATTTAAAGAGTTTATAAAATTATATAAACCATTTTTAATTATTTATAAAGGCTTATAAATGATTTATAAACTCTTATAAGTCATTTATTAAGGTTTATGAATCATTTATAAGAGTTTATAAATCAACTTCTAAACCTTTAAATTAGTTTATAAGCCTTTATAAATTAGTTTATAAACTCTTATAAATTAACTTATAAACCTTTATGAATCATTTTATAAGCTTTTTATACATTAACTTAGTAATCTTATTAGAATCATTAAATTAGTAAGCTTTTTATACATTTTATGAACCATTAAATTAGTTTATAAGTCTTTACAAACCTTATAAATGATTTTATAAACCCTTATAAATTAGTTATAAGTTTTTATAAATTAGTTTATAAGTCTTTCTAATTTAGTTTATAATCATTGTATAAGTTATTTATCATAGTTTTTTGGTGCGAAAGCAATGAGCTTTCTTTATCTACTTACTTATCTTTTTGTAATCATCATAAGTTTTTGGTAAGTGAATAATCATCTCAAGAAGAATTTGCCATATCTTTTTGTTGATACTGCTGTTTTAGCCAACAGTGATGGTTGAAAACTGATCAGATTTTTGTTTATAGAATGAGCTTTTATAATGGGTTTATAGGTGTTTACTGACTTTGGTGTATGGCTAGCTTAGTTATTCTTCGTCTTTTCCCTGTGGTAAAAACCATTTTTGAAGTTCTTGTTCCATTGAAACGAAATTTGCTGAATCATTTGGCTTTTGTCAAAAATGCAGGAGTCATAAAAAGCAAGTCTTTAGAATCAAAATCCAGACACACGCATATTCACCCCCTCACACGCACACAAAAAAATGAGCTTTGCGTGCCTTGTGTGCCACAGTGTAGACAGCACATCCCACTCATTTAGAAGCTACTCTGTTTCTAGCTCAGACAATGAAGGAAGATGCTCTATGATTGCGAGCTGCCTCTCAAGGACATCACTCATCCAAGCTGTGAGATCCAATAATTTCCCTGCCTCATCATCCTCAAAGGTAACCCCACAATCCACTTTCCAAGGAGGTGAACTGATGATAACAGAAGGAGCCTCGCCAAGGTTAGTGCGAAGCCGTGCAGTAAGAAGAGACATTGTCAGAGACTGGAACTTGAACGACTGAGCATAGTTTTTTCTCTTAGCATTGAGTTTTTTTAAGAACTGCAAGTGAGTTACAAGTTTGTTGCTTCTGCAGGTATGTGACATCTGGGTCTTTGAGAAGTTCTATTCCGCACAGGAGCTTGCTGGCGTCTCTATGGCCGTATTGAATTTCCTTCAAAGGATATAATCCAACCTGCCCTCTGTTTTTTTTGTTTTTTTTTGCTGAGTCAGTATCTCTACATAATTTGCATTCTTGTAGTCACTGTTGCAACTAAAAGGTGAATGTTGTCTGATTAGGTTCTAGATAATTTTATAAACAATTTATAAAGACTTATAAAAAATCTCTACATAATAAGAGTTTATAAAATCAGTTGTAAGAGTTTATAATCTTTATATGTGTAAATTATAAAATAACCTTTATTCAGTTGTAAGGGTTTATAAAATCTTATATAATGTTGACAAGTTTTATGAAATATATATAAAACTCTTATAAGAGAATATATAAAGTCATTTTATAAGGATTTATAAATTGTTCATAAGGTTTAAAAGTCTCTAATAAGTGTTTATAAATAAATTATAAGGGTTTATAAAAGATCTCAGAAGAATTTATAAGAGTTTATAAGAGTGATGAATCTTTAATAAATGATTTACAAAGGTTTATGGACTATTTTCAAAATTTTATAAACTTTTTTATAAATCATTTAAGAATTAACTTAATCGTTTTTAAGGGTTAATAAAATCATTTATATGGATTAAAAAGCATATTAAAACATTATTGATCATAATTCCCCTTTATTTTTTTTTATTTTTTTTTTTGACATCAAACGGCTGATCTATTACTCAAGCAACATGAGGTGGTCTGGGAATCCAGACCGGAATAGAACAATCAACGAACACAAGCTTACGGTAAAAAGCCCTAGCTGACTTAGCTAAAGAATCAGAAACACTGTTCTGTAATCTAGGAACATAAAAGATCTTGAAGTCAGGGAAACAGATCTTCAGCGTCTCCAATCTCTCCAGCTCAGTTGAGAAGTTAGGCCAGGCATGAGGGTTCCTGAGCATCTCGATCATCTCCTTGCAATCAGTTCCAAAGCTCTGACATGGCGAATGTTGAAGCATATTCNAAACACTGTTCTGTAATCTAGGAACATAAAAGATCTTGAAGTCAGGGAAACAGATCTTCAGCGTCTCCAATCTCTCCAGCTCAGTTGAGAAGTTAGGCCAGGCATGAGGGTTCCTGAGCATCTCGATCATCTCCTTGCAATCAGTTCCAAAGCTCTGACATGGCGAATGTTGAAGCATATTCTCCATTGCCCACCGCAGAGCCTCCAACTCTGAATGCAATGCCGACTCCACTCGATCAAAATTACGCAATCCCAGTAATTTGCCATTTCCGAACTCGTTATTTAGCACCCATCCACAACCACTGAATTCATTCGTAGAGGTCCATGAGCCATCCACCATGCATATATTACCCAGGTTTAAGGCCTGGTCGTCTTCTCCTCCGTTCCCAATGGAGACCGGAGTTTCCTTCTCATTGGCTTTGAACCAAGCTTGACATTCACTTTCTGCATAGCGCGCTAACTCCAATGGATCCCTATCAATACCTCTAAAGAGTTTATCATTCCTAGCCTTCCAGATGTACCAAATTAGCCAAGGATAAGGATCCCTGTCCAATTCCGGTTCCATTATCGCATTCTTCCTCCAGAAAAGATAATCCATATTTGCGTACGTGCTCAATCCTGGAAACAAAACGGGATTGGTTGGCGTAGATGATAGTACCCAAACTTGTACTGCAGGAGGGCATTCAAATATTGCATGATTGATCGTCTCCTCGGGTTCCCCACATCGAGGACAGTGATTGTCACATCTCATATGTCTGTAGTTTAGGATGCTCGTGACAGCTACATGTCCCGTAATCAATTGCCACATAAGATGACAAATCTTTTGAGGAGCCCTGACCTTCCAAGCATGTTCTTGGAGCTTTGTGATACTGGGTTCACATACTTCAGGTTCTTCTTCCTTCCACAAAATATTTCGTGCTACCCAATATCCAGATTTGACTGTATACTGTCCAGTCTTCGTATAGCTCCAACAGTACTTGTCCCGACGATGTGTTGAACTAATGGCCATACTTTTAATGAATGGAATATCCTCTGCCGCAACATAATCGTGGAGTCTCTTATCATCCCAGCACTTCGTTGTTTGATCAATCAAATCACTCACTCGCATATTTGGATGCAGAACCGGTGCCAAAGGAGTAGCAGGTCTTGCGGGTATAGTAGGAATCCAAGATCTTCCCAGACTTTAACCTCATATCCTGAGTGGACTTTTTGTCGGACTCCTAATAATAACAACTCTCTGCTAGCCGTTATGCTTGTCCACACGTAAGATGGGCTACTAGCATTAATTTGACGCAAGGGCGTAGTCAATCTGTAATATCGGCCTCTTATAACGCGAGCTACCAGAGAATACGGGTTCTGCACCAGTCTCCATAGTTGCTTTGCAAGTAACGCAAGGTTAAACTCATGAATCAACCTAAAGCCAATACCGCCTTCTTCTTTTGGTAAGCATAGTTTGTCCCATGTCGACCAGTGAATACCCCTCTTTGGCGGATTTGAGCTCCACCAAAACTGTGCAATGGCACTAGCTAGATTCTCACAAATCTCCAATGGGAGAAGAAAGCAGGACATTACATACGTCGGTAGAGCTAGCAGGATTGATTTTATCATAACTTCTTTCCCGCCTT